GGTACCGAAATTTTAGCGAACTTGCAATTTGGTGCAATCAATTTATTGTACTTTAATTTAAATGAATATATCGTACTATATTAGTATTTGTCGATCAATTTAACTTATCTCTAACGTGTAATTTCAAAAACCATTATATTTGTAAATATGATTAATCGTTTATAGTTTTCTCCATTATACTAATACACAAAAAAAAAAAAAAACAAAAAACAAAAAACAAACAAAAACAACAGATTATGTGTTATTAATATCAATCTCTTTTGCTTCTTTTAAGATTTTTATGAAACTGGCCTTAGTCCTTTAAAATGAATAAAGCTATTTGTACATGGTAAATGCTAGGAAAATTATCGGGTGCTGATGTCGCGAATTTTGATTGGTTGTTTCAAATTTATTTTTTGTGCAAAGTTCAATGAAAATTTGCCACTGGCATTCTAACATTTTTCCCTGTACAAGTAGCATCTTTCTTAAAAAATAGGACTCACAAACGATGAGCATGAAGTTCCAAGACAATCCATTTCCGACATTAATGTGTAACTTGTTTTCTATGTGGAAATTGGAGAAAATTACTAATGATGATGCTTGGAGTGATAAATAGAAAGTGGACAATTTTTGTATACATGTGAATATTTTTCTTTCTTTTTTCTTCTCGTCAAAGATCACGGTTCAATTTTGACAATTTTTGAACTACTTTTACATCAAACCACTTTCTACGATTCAATTTGGTTTCAAATCACAATTTTAACGATATAAAAATAATATTTTTTAAGTAAGTGCAAAATAACTATATTCATGTAAAATCTCAAAATTACACTTTGGAATCTTTTAACTATAAACATCATAATATTAAAATATATTTATTTATATATATCTTAATAAACGTTTAAACCAAAAAAATTTAAGCTTGCAAATTCATTTTTTCTGAAAAAATATTATCAAAAGACATTATTTCTTTAAAGAATCAATAGAAGGACTAACAAGCAAATTTGTTAGGCATAAACTGAATTATTAAATTATATATTTAGGGTAAAATAAATAATTTGTTTTTCTAAATCGAATAAATAGTTGGTTTGGTACCAAGCGTTTTTTAACAATCAAACATAAACCGAACCATTTCCAAAGGTTTTAGGATCACGGACGGGTCCACGTAAACTCAAACCAAAGGTTTCAAAATTTCAATTTCAATTCAATTTGATGGGTTGTCGATTTTCATGTTCAACCCTATTTTTTCTAATATTGATGCTACAAATATATTTCTAAGAAGAGTAAACAAATTCATTTTACCCCTAACTAGTGTTGTAGCCGTCTATTTTCATTTAATGAAGGACTAGATCATATTTTAACTCGGCGATTCCCCTAGCCCCAACTCAGGGAAAAAATAAATAGAAGGATTAATTACAGAATTATGGAACATTTGATGGTCTAATTTGAAATATTAAGTGAATCGACAAATATTTTAATACTACAAAAAGAAGATGAATTTCACTACTATATAAAAGAGTGACTTTGATTTTTACTGTTCATAAGCCGAATGGCCATCGTCAGTTGAGCCGAGCCGAGTGGCCATTTTAGCTGAGCCATTTCATAATGATCAGTACAGGAATTGATTATGATTTGATTTTGCTCCTGCTAAGACTAGAGCCAGTTGTATTTATTTTGTTTGTTTGTTTCTTTATTATTTCTCTTTTCCAAGGAACAATTATGATTTGTTTGACTTTTTTTTTTTTTTGGTACTTTAGATGTTTACGTGAGAAAGGAAGCTGTATTTGTCAGAGAGCTATCTTTTCGTCTTCAATTTCGCCATTTATTCCGTCTTCATTTCATTTTCTCTTTCTTCATCTTTTCATTTCCTTCTCTTTTTCTTTCCTTTATCTTTCTTCGCCATTTCTTCAATTTTCATTTTATTTTCTCTTTCTTCATCTTTCCATTCCCTTCTCTTTTTCTTTCCTTTCTCTTTCTTCGAGTGAAGCGTTCACAACAGTTCCACCGTCGTTTCCATTTTCATTCTTCTCACGCTCTTTTCTCTTTGGTTTAAATTTTATCTCTTGCTCTATATCTGTACAGTTCTAGATTGGAGGTTAATTATTGGGCTGCTGTATATTAGGTGTGAAAAGGTACTATTTTCATTATATATTCACCTCTCTTCGTCGGATTGTTTGTGTTGATTTTTT